ACAAATATTATAAATATCTGATAATTCTCTAAGGGAACAAAAATTAGTTGTACGTCTTTGTCTTAAAAATTATGTATTGATTCACACAGAGAAATGTTGTTCCCTTATGACATTGAATAAAAAATGTATAAAACATAATTGGTCAAATATGACAAGACTAAATTCAACAAAGTCACGGACCAAACAATAATTAAAGGAAATAAAACAAGTAAACAACATAAATTTATTTTTGATAGTATTATTTAAATAGTTTGTTATTTTTAAATATATTTTTTTCTGAATTTTTAGAAATTACCTTATAATGTATTAGAGTCGACAAATATTTTCTAACGACCAACGTTAAATTGTAAAATGTGGGCATAGTTTATTTTGAAATTTAAACGAGATAAAATTTTAGGAAGATTTCAATTATAAACATTTGAAGTAGTACCACCGAGTTTGATTTGATGATCAAAAGTGAAAAAGCTATGTGTTTACAATAATTTTATACACGAAATGGCAAACTACAAACATTTTTTCGTTTCTCCAAAGAAGTATTGTATTATATAGAATTCGTTCTTTAAAAACAAATTGCAAATACACACGTTTCTACTGAATTCTCCTTTCATGCTCCAACATCGAACTGAATGTAATTTTTTTTTTTAAGCTGAGCAATTACCGAGATCAACAGAAATTGCTTTTGTTGTAAACAAACGCAGCGTGGAACTGATCAATGAACTGTTGAATGTTGAGCATTAGAAAAGTGACGAACGAAAGGATAACTGGCTCCGATCACAAATGGCAGAAGCAGAAATATCATTTTAATAAATATATTGTTGTTCTGGCAACTTGTCACAAGGTCTTTATGTTTCTCTTTTTTGTTTTAGTTTGTCCCGTCTAGACTTGCATTCTATATGGTTTTAGATAATGTAGGTTTGAAAACAGTAACCGACTTCACTTACATAAGAAGCAATATCTCCTCGCTTGGAAATTTTGTGGGTGAAATTAAGTAGAGAATAGCAAAGGCAAATGCTCCTTACAGCAGACTTCAGAGTGTCTGGAGATAAAAAAAATCTACAGTGCTAAAACTAAACTCAGAATATACAAAACATGCGTTAGGACAGTTCTCCTGTGTGGAGCAGAAACCTGGAAAACAGACAGAAAGATGTGAAGCATACTGAGAGGTTTTGGGGGGAAAAACTTCCAGAAGATTGTTGGGGTTCACATGGGAAGATAAAATCATCAGTTCTAGATTACAACAAATGACAGACTTGAGAGATGCAATTTTAGAAATAAAAAAAAATTAAAACGAAGATGGAGGGGTATTGCACACGTCCTCGGAATGAAGAAAGAGAAACGGCCGAGACAAACTATGCAATGGACACCACAAGGACAGCGAGGAAGAGGCAGGCTCAGAGGCACTTGGAGGCGAGCGAACCTTTAGTGCTGAACTCAAGGCTACGCGAAGGACAAAACTGGAGATAGAGAGGATAGCTAAGGACCGAATTGAGTGGCGACAGTTTGTCTCTGCCTTATGTGCCTCTGGGCGCGATGTGGATCACCCGTGGAGAGGTCCCAGAAACTGCGTGCAACCGTTTGGCTAAACTGCGGCCCCCGGCAAAAGCCAGGGTGGGGCTTCAAAATAACAAATAATTGCATCCCACAAAAAGACGACTTTATAACAAAATTAATTATTGATAATTTCATAGGAATGAATCTATTAGTTCACCTTGTCGTTAGGGAGGTTTGAACAGTGTAACAATGACGCATTAGAGAAAACAAGTATATGTTTTACATTTATGTTGTTAAAAATAGATTTGTTGGTTCCTTGCCTCTCGGGTAGATGCCCCTTGACTTCGAAGTCCCCAGTTAGTCGACTATTTTTACCTGCTTGTTGGGGAGGCAGTGAGTGGGTCTGTCCTTCTGCTGGAGTCTACAGCTGGTAAACACGTCAAAAAAGAATACGTCAGGAGAGAAATTTAGCTTTAGATTATCCAAAGCAGGGGAAATGACCCGTATTCGGTTTTCCTTGAATCATTATATTACAGCTAATGTCCCTTTACAAATTACTACAACAACAGGTAGGTTAGTAGTTGTACCCTACCAGGACATAACACAAACTGCCACCATACGGATGAGGATTACTCGTGGAGAGGTCTCAAAAACCCCTTTCAGCCATTGGGCCATATCTATGGCTAGGCCATATCAATGCCCCGGCTATATTCAGGGCCCCCGGCAGAAGCCAGCGGGGCTTAAAATAACAAAAAATTGCATTCCACATAGGGCGACACATATTAACAACAACAGGACAATAACACCTCGAATGACCACCGAGTTCCATTCCGACGAACAGGTCATAAATAGTTCCCTTCTGACAAACAGGTCAAAAGTCGAACTAGTCGTAAACTGAATTTACGTTTTTCAACATTATTTTCATTCAAACTCGTTATTCCATATTTTCTTCTTCTTCAACATTCCGAACCATTAAGATTCATTGCTGCAGATATCACCAGCCCCCACTCATCTCTCTGGTTGGCCTTTTTTCCCATTTGTTGACACCAAGAGTCTGTAGCTTTGTCAAGACTTTATCTCTCCGTCGACTTCTTGGTCTACCTTGTAGTCTAAAAAACATTGGATTTAACAAACTGCCACCAGTATTTGTTTCTGTTTCTGAATTTGCTTTGTTAACCTATGAAAATGAAACTACGGCTCAAAGGTAAACTACACAGTCGCATTTCTTTTGGTAAGACCGAAAATAAAACAGGTAGCATTCATTATTGGAGCGCAGCAAAGGAATCAGGTCAACTAGATGCCACACTGCTGTATTAGTTATTTACAAAGAGGCAGTCAGTGGCCTATAGGTGGCCAAGCCAGATTTACAGTTCCCCCCCAAAATCTAGGTTCTATGCAGATACAGGCGATTTGAAAGTAAATCTAGGGCTGTTGAAGTTGGTACCTCTGTTCACATTTAGTACTGTTTGAACAATGGCAAGAAAAACTGTATTGACTGACTGACTGACTTTCTACCCCACCAGGACATTACACAAGCGATAAATGCCCGATGACACAACGTGCCACCATGTGGATGAGGCTCACTGTGGAGAGGTCCCAGAAACCGCGTACAGCCACTAGGTCATTTTTAAAGCCTGGCTATATTGCGGCCCCTGGCAAGAGCCAGAGTAGGGCTACAAATAACGAAAAACTTCATCCTTAAAAGGACGGTGAATTATAAAAAACTGTATTTTTGGTACAGATCCCATTGTTTCCTCTCTCGTTAACAATATTAAGCGTTATTATTTAACAATATTAGGATTGACTAGGCTTTTTTTTTTTTTTAAACAACGCCCCTCAGAGACTTTAACAATAAATGCTTTGAGGTGATCAAAGTGATTGTTCCAGAATATTCATTGCCTCAACTGGAAGCTACCACTGGAACTGTAAAACAAATAAAGCGAAAGAACAAATGGTACAGCAATGATGTAACGGAAAATAATTTAATTTACTATACAATATAAGGTAAGCATGTAAAAAATCTAATTGTACAATTGTTTTAACTGGTTGGTAATGAAAACAATAATTATAAATGTGCTACCTTATGGTGTGTTTGGTACCTTCTCAAAAATGATTTGGTACTATTCGCAACAACAACAACAACAAAACAGCCCTGAGTAAACCACATAGTGTTGAGTTTGCAACGATATAAGATCTGTTCCTTTCAAACAGCAATGGCAAACTGCTGTAGGTATAAAAGGCAATGGTCCCCATACAGGATATTGGCACGTCGGTCATAATGATGCTAAATTTATTTTTTAATAACCCCTTGCCGGTTGATGAGGTCAAAATTATGCTGGCGCCTTTGTTTCCCATTTAATCTTGCGTCCACCTGGCAGCCAAAGCCATATTTAAAAAACATCCAGGTTTATGCAGATTTGAATCTATGACCTTTCGATCTTCAGGCGACCATGTATCCGCTACACCAGTGTACTAGTGTATGTAAACATTGCCTGTTCAAACAACACGGAAAGATATCAAATCAAAGGAAAAGTAGAACCAGTCGCCTTTATATTATCACAAACGGCACGTGAACGTCGCGGCAAAAGTGTCTTCATCAGCACATTTCGTGAATTAAAACAGAACAGCAGCAAATTAATATGCGGTAGTCTTTGATACTTGGGTACCCGGATAAAATCAGATGGAAGATGCATAAAATAAATTAAATGTAGAATAGCTCAAGCAAAAGTAGCATTTTACAAAATGAAAAATATTCTACGCAATCTTCTCTGTCAACTGAGACGAGACAGAGCATTCTTAAAAGATATAAAAATGTTATCCTAATATGCGGAGGTGAATCGTGGACAGTTGGTAGAATATTAAAACATTTTTCGGAAGTTCCAGAGATGAGGTTTTATAAATGCATGATGAGAATACCCTGGGTAGATAATTTTTTTTTTTTTTTTCAAGTAATGAAGACGTCTTTAAAGAAACTAACACACGAAGAGTACTGATTGCCCACATCAGAAAGAGACAATCTACATTAAGAGGGAAACAGCTGGAGTGCATCGTTTCGGTAGGAATGTTGGAGGGGAAGAGAGGCGTGGGGAGACTAAGAGAGAAGATGTTGTACAGTTTGACATCATGGCACGCAGTATTATCTCAGTCAAGAGTTTATTGAAAGTACACGAGACAGAAGGCTGTGGATAAGGACATAACTACCAACGTCACACAGCACGGACTTTAAGAAGTACTGGAACAGCACGCAAAGGACTTATTTTGTTCGTCATTCTCCTATAACAGCGTTGTTGGTAAGTTTTACTTGGATTTAGAGCTAGACTATGATATCTAAGGCTTTCGGTCACATACATCCATTTTCAGCAAACCCATTAGTGGTCTCTTACGACATAGTTGTTAGGAGCAGTTGGTCTTTCCCCCCTCCCCCCACCCTCTCTCTCTCTCTCTCTCTCTCTCTCGTTAATTAGGGCCCTGGAACCCATACGACATGGATGTGCAGTTAATTTTTCATATCACTGAATTAAACGACTCATTAACTGTTGTTGTAATGTAGAGGTAAGTTCCCAGTCTGGTACAACAATGATGTTATCATCATTGACCGCACTGAGAATCTCTGCAGGTAAAAGGTGTTGTAGACTCGTGTCTACCAACACGACAATCCGTGAAGGGTTCTCCCACGTTTGAGAATAGATGGCCGATGTATAGGTAAATGCTGACCACTCGTCCTGAAAGAGGAAGCTGCTGGTGACCACCAGAATAATTCTCCAGCTGGCGTTAATAGCGTCTACAATACTCCTGGCCATGTCCGGCCCGTTCATGTCTCGATGATATAAATACGTGTTTAATCCCAACTCGTCCTCAATGAAAGTTCTTAGATTAAAACACGGAAAGGTGTAGTCATGTTCAGAATAGCCAATGAAAACGCCAATTCTGTAATCCGACTGCGCTTTGAGCTTATATCCAGTGAAGACTTTTAATATTGCAGATCTGATAAAAAGTTTATGTTTAAGTACAAAGAAGAAAACAAGAAATCCGATGACAATGAGAAGGAAAAGACTAATGGCGACAGTTAGAAAAAACCCACCCAGACATTTTCGAAAGAATCTGTCTACGTCCACAAATAGACGGAAGTTAGTTGTGTTGTTGTTAACATCAAAGCATGCTATAGTTATATCATCCAGTTGAACGTGGGTAGTTGTTAGCCAATGAAGAAATCGGAAATTGTCACAGTCACACGAGATTTCGTTTCCAGAAAGAAGCAACTTAAATCCGTCAGGCTGTTTAGCTAAAATGTCTAAAAGTTCTCGGTCTCCGAGTTCAATGGTTGACAGGGAGTTCTTACGAATGTCTAAGACTTTGAGATTCGGGGTATTCTGCAGGCTGAAAGGGATGGTTCTGAACCTATTCTTGGCCAGATTTAGCATTTCTAACTCTCTGTTGACAGTAAAAGTATCTGTGGCTAGTGAGTTTAGCAAATTCAAGGAGATATCCAGCCGTTTGAGATTCAACAGGTTCCTTAGAAGTCTATCACTGTATCTAGAAATGAAGTCAACACCAAGAGAACAGTCTGATAAATCCAGTTCTTCCAGATGACAGAAACTGTCAAAAAATGCCTCGGACAAACTTGACAAATCGTTTTCAGACAGAATTAATGTCTGTAATGCATCTAGGCCAGTAATAATTCCTCGAAACTTGTACAGTTTTCCCCGACCTACATCTAGATACGTCAAACTTTGTGCTCCAATAAATTTGACATTTATATCGACTCTGGTGCTAGAAAGAGAGGCATGCAGCTGCAGACGCTGTAAAGAATTGGATACAGTCACCCAAACAAACTTTGTAGGAGAATAAGTTGATTTACATGTGTCGACTGGCTGTTTCTTACTTTTAGTGGGCGCTGATCGTTTAGTGTTGCTGACAAAATTGTCTTCCTTATTTGCGCGTGTGCTGTATGCAGGTGTACTGTGGTAACTAATGTCAGAAGCGACAGTACACGAGAGCTGTGTGGGTGTTAAAGCTGCATCATCAATAAACTCAGTACCACCTAAATCATCATCATTTTCGCCACTTGTGGAAAAGCAGCGTCGCATCATGTTGTCCATATTGATCATTTCGATGTTTTTAAAATTAAGTAACCGTATAAAGGCTGCTTTTGTGCCAAGTAATGGGTTAGCAGATAAATCCAATTTGACAAGACATCTTTCCCAAATATCACTCCTGAAAGCATTTTCTTGGATAACATAAATCTCACTGAAGCTTAAAGTGAATTCCCGCACACATACTTCCAGTAGATATTGAGTCTTAGAGAAAGTTAATACTCCATCGTTTTTTATGAAGCCCGGATAACTATCATGCTCAAACATACTAATAGAGTCTAGGTATATAACGGTCATATTTCTGCCTCTGAAGGGTTTTAAAGCCAGCAGTAAATTGTCAACACCTGTACGAACACCATGTAAGTAAAGAACGTCAAGTTTCTTGAACGGTTCGAAAGCTATCTCGCTGAAATTTGTCAGAATCATGCTGTTTAGGTATAAACTTTTTATCTGCTGGACGTTCTCAAAACTTTTTTCATTGATGTGCTTTGCATTACCATAAATACTCAACTGTTGTAAATGTGTTAATTCTGCAAATTCTTCTGCAAAACACAGCCTGTAACCAACGGTATTGACAGTTAGGTTTTCTAAGTGTGCCAGCGTACCTAATACATTGCCAGGCATACAGTCTTCATATCTGTAGTAATCATTATGTTGGATGAGTAGCTCTTTTAGTTTTGTTAGAGACTTAAATACGTTTGGAGGCTGCAAATACTGATACCCTAATTGATTATAATCTAAATTGAGAGATTCCAGATTACTGAGCCCGCTGAATGCGTCTATTTCGATGTCTTTAATTTGGTTTCCTGAAAGACTGAGACTGCGAAGATCTTGCAGATGAGAGAAGGTACAATTCTGTATTGCTGTAAAACGATTGTTGTCAAGAAGAATGACGTTTGCGTTTGCAGGAAACCATGCTGGGTTTATGTTCTCTTGTGATAATCCGGAGCAGTCAATTACAATTTGCCCATTGTTGATTGTTGTAAAACAAGGGCTGTTAGCTGAATTGAAGTTGGTACTGACTGTTTTCTCACACGGTGAAAGAAATGAGAAATCTGGATTAGAAAAAGGCAAGGCCGATTCTTGTGAACTCTGTACTTTCCATACATCTGTAATCGGAGCTTGCAATGTTGATTGGCCTTGAAGAATTTTTGTCGATGGAACGAGTGGTTAAATCTCGAAGTATTGGTCAGTGGATATGTGTTCGATAGTGTTGAAACTTCCAAATCTTCCACAGGTTCTGATCCTTTTGTTCTGTTCGGGAATCCACTCAATGTTGAAATGAAACCAGTACGCTTTTGAACTACACACTGAACTAGGTAGAAGCTAACAAATAAGCAAACAAAACGATAGATCTTAAATATTATAATAACCATTGCTCACATTAACTCAACAATCAGTTTAATTTTCTTGACCTAAAAAACAAAACACAAAACTCAAGATGTTGTACTTCTTGTCCTCTCAGCCTAATGGCACGAAGACACAAAAACTAATAAATTTAAAATGCAGGTGTTTTCATTTTAATAGACATAGGCAGTTAAACAAACCAGTTCGCAAACTTTGTCCTACTTGATAGTCAGGTAATGTGATCACCGGAGCGCTAACACGGAACAGTGTTTTTCAGTTTGTATGCTGTTGACCCCAAAGGCCGCGGATAACTTCAGAAGCCGCAACAATTTGTATCTAAAATGCGTTTCAAAAGTCGTTCCCTCAGAATTTAACAAATATCTGGAAAATTCATATGTGGATCAGCACTAATTTTTTATATGTCCTTAGATTTCCTAGTCTGTAGGATTTTTCAGTTTACAATTGCATAGGTGCTGGAGTTTTCTTAAAGCGGCGATTTTCTTTTACCTTTGTTCAACTAATATCTTGTGTACACCTTAAAAAATAGAATATACCGTACTTGACGCACGCGTGGAGATTGGAAATCAATTCATATGCGATGGTGGTTGTTATTTTAATAGCATATCCCGCAAACAACGAAAAATGCGCAACAGAGGGAGACTAATGGCAGATGACCACCGGGTAGGGAAACGCCTATAAAACGATTGCAATTTGATGTTGAGAAAAGTTCCCTTACTCAGCTTACTGTAAGTATGTTGATCTTCTGCTTTGAATCTGTGTCTTTTATAGGGCTTTTTTTTTTGGGGGGGGGGGGGGGGGGGGGGGGGGGGGGGGGGGGGGGGGATACTTTTAGGCCAAAATGAAAACTAGATGTTTGTTTACATTTTTGTTAAGCCTTAAAAGGAAAGTAAAAAGTTTTTTTTTTTTTAAGTAAAGGTTCCTTTTCTACGTCTTTAGGCGTATATGGCATATAGGGCTAGACCTATATTTTTATAGATAAATCGGATGATTTCGTCGGCATCACGCCGGCCGTCTTTATTTCCCGGGAATGCACCCGTTACCCACTCAAGGTTGAAACAACCTGGATGTTTTTAGAGGCCCAATTCTGTATGATATCCGGGAATGTTTGGGCTTTTCACAGACTTTACTGCACCTCAATAATATACACGGGGAAATAAATCTTTGATGCTGTCCTAATTTTTTTTAATTTGTGACACACCAGTTTGTGTTATTGTAAAAGTTTTAAAAAAGTAAATATATCTTTTTACGCCTTAGGCGCATCGGGCATATGGGAAGAGTATCCATATTTTTACAGACCATTGTGCACTAGGTGGGTAAATGGGGTCAGAATTACGCCAGCCGTCTTTACTTCCCAGAACATCCATCCTTGTTCGCCCCATACCATGGTAAAAATCCATGCAGCCAGAAGTGGGTTTCGATCTTGGTACGTTGGAATTACGAGTCTTACTCGCAACGCCTCAGCCACTGACGCCGCATAGTGTTATTGTGTCAGGTGTTTTTTTCTAGGCAGTGCTTGTAGGTTTGAGGTTTGAACAACGGATCAACATCATGGCACACGGGTAGTAACCCATAAGTGCCCCGTTCTTCTTCTAACTCAAGTCTGAGTCCGAAGAAGCTTAGCAGCACAGTACACAGGCTCTGTAGCACCGGCGAGGATCCTGAAACACTGTGAATATATATTTTAAACTCCAAGCGCCGTTAGGCTGCTTTTTTTTTTTTTTTTAACGTGCACAACAACGCACACGGGCGTCCGATTTCTCTACCCAGAGACCAGGGGGAATTACTAGAAGTCTAAGCCAACGTGAAAAAATCCCAGCCCTTACCGGGGATTGAACGCGGAACCTCTAGCACTCGAGGCGGATACTATGTCTTAAGACCATGCAGCCACCCTGCAGTACTTGAAATGACTAGTTTAATATATAATGAGATGCTACTGTTGCTGCTACTACTTCTTCTTCGTCGTCTGCTGCCTCGTATCTCAGAGGTTCCGTAACCGTCGGAGCTCCCACTGTAACCTTTCTTCGGTGCTTTATTACAATATTACTCCAAACAGGGGAAATCTGCAGGTCACGGGACAGTCTAAAATTTCAGGGGGTGGTAGATAGGCTGCATGCAGTGGTAGAATCTAGGCTGCATGCAGTCGTGGGACCTATTCTGCCCTCTCCCGTGGGACGTAAATGGGTTGGGGTTAGAGCTATTTCTAGATGTTTTGATGTCGTTAACCAGCAGCAGAAAGCCGAGAAACCCATTCTTACCACCCCCTAAAATGTTGGACTGTAAAGTGACGTCATTTGGGGTAGGATATCAATAAAGCACTCTTCTGTTCCATTGAAACGAGTTTTGAAGACTGTGGCATGGAGGAATAACCTCTGTAGAACGAATCAAGAACACCAAAAGAAAAAGGTATGTGACAGCGCATAAACGCCTAAACAAACTGGCAAGGCACTTGATAATGATGACTAGTAAACAATGAGGAGCATCGGTAAATTGTAGACACTTTCTGGTGAATACGGATAACTCTTCTCTAGGAACAATTAGAATTGAGAACATAACCATGGAGTGATAGTAAACGAGGATAGTATCACACTGGAACCCACACGGTGACATCTGCTGTTGGTCTGCAGAGGGGAGCTGTAGGGTCTCGAGGCATAGTGTCCCCCTTGAGTGCTAGAGGCTCTAGGTTCAATCCCCAGGCTGGGATTTTTTCAAGTGGACTTGCACCTCTGGTAATTCACCTGGTCTCTGAGTAGTGAGATCGGACGCCCGTGTGCATTGTTGCGCTCGAGAAAAATTCCCTTGGCAGTTGGAAATCGAAATTAGTAGACTAGTTTGCCCAGGCAAAAGTTTGGAGTTCAAAATCTACCTAAAGTATTTAAGGATCCTCACCGGTGCTACAGAGCCTGTGAACTGTGCTGAACTTCATTGGATTCAGACTTGATTTAGAAGAAGAACGTTGCACTTATTGGTTACTTTCTGGGTGCCATTATGATGATCTGTTGTTCAAACCTCAAACCTCAAACCTCAAACCATAAACCTCAAACCTCATCTGCAGTTTAATATAACAATTAATAAAGAATATGTTGCAATTCAGAAAGAAAACATTGGTATGCGTCAGTAGTTTAATCTTCTAGTTGAAATTTGTCATGTTAAAGATAACCTTATTAATTTCTGAGAGTAAACGTGTTATATTTTCCTGGAAGACTCTTCAAAATTTTAGCCATTGGAGATATTTTGTTTAGTATTCAAGTTTTCAATTGATGTTAAATATTGTGAATAGCTATTATAATGAGTTCAAAGATAAAAAAAAAAAAAAAAAACATTTTATGTAGAAATCCTGAGAATATATTTATCTTTCTTGTGGCAAAATCCGGTTATGTGTCATTGACTATTTCGCAAACACTAAACAAATAGAAGGTCCATGATTTTCAACTTATGTGTTGCAAGAAGATTATTAATAGGGTAGATTATAAATAGGGTAGATTATTAAGAGGGTAAAATGCGTCACGTTTTACTGGGACAGTCACGTTTTTTAGGTTTGCTTCTGCCGTTCTGTAGGTACCCACACACACAAAATGAGGCCTGTATTATGGCGTTGTTTTTTTTTTTTTTTTTAACAACATATTGAAATAAGTTCGAGATTAACACATAGGCTTATAGTTACAACTATAGGCCGCCTTGGATTTCATTGTTTTAGAAACGTTGATGGGAATAGTCCTTGGAACATATACCCCCCCCCCCCCCCCCCCCCCCCGCCACCCCACCAGTGCAGTTAGTTCCATAATTAATAATAGCAAATTTGTAAGATTCACTGAAAAGGTGGAGATTGGTGGGTGAATTTACATCCCAGGCAGATATGAAAAAAACAAAAAAACAAAACATTGGTGACCAAACTTATTTTCGGGACATACCAAAAGGTTAACCATCTGTATTCTTAATATAATGAATGTTAACACATTTAAAAAAAAAAAAACATACACACACGCACATACACACAGTGCAATTTGCTCTGCTAGGGGTCTGTTTCTACACGCCACATTGCTGTATTGAGGTACACTTAGTTGCTATGACACACCAGAAAACGAATGTTCAGTTATGACCTTTATTCGCTGAATCAAACATCTCCCTGACAACGCATTCTTTCGTTCTCGTGGTCGCTATGCATGGCTGATTTCTGATGACCTGGCCAACTCTATCGCACATTGCTTTGCTCCGTTCGTATCTCTGGAATCACACATCCATATCATACTAAAGCCTTG